GCGCGCGCTACCGAGCGGGGATCAATGTATGCACGACGATCTGCAGGGGCCGCAGCGTAGGATCGTAAAAAATGCCTAATAGCATACATAATAACATCTACATAAGACCTACACGAACCAGCGCCCACCCCAAAATTTCCAGTACGAAATAAAAATACCAAAATTTTATCGATCCTGTCAATAGTAGAATAATTTGCACTGCTGACAGGAAAAATCCTGTCAGCAGTGCAAATTATTCTACTATTGACAGGACGATCCTGTCAGCAGTGCAATATTTTCTGCTATTGACAGGACGATCCTGTCAGCAGTGCAGTATTTTCTGCTATTGACAGGACGATCCTGTCAGCAGTGCAATATTTTCTGCTATTGACAGGACGATCCTGTCAGCAGTGCAATATTTTCTGCTATTGACAGGACGATCCTGTCAATAGCCATAGGCTTTCGCGTTTTTTCGCGTTACGGGTTTCACGTCAATCTGACGATTTGCAGCACTGTCGTGACTCTTTGGCCCAAGTTACAGGAAGCGGAATTTCTTGGTTTGTTTTCTAGGAACAGGCCAAAATCAATGCGCGCGCGGACGTCATCCATAAAATTTACTTGGTGTGGCCTAACATGGTATGTACAACATATCGACGTCGAGAACTATAAAACACAATAGAAACAAAATATGCACCTTTGGAAGCCGTACAAACTCAATTTCTTAATCATCGTGATTAAAACAATTTCAAGCTACACACTGTAGTACATTTAGTATGTATATTTCATATTTCTTGCCTATATCTTTTACCTACTTTATCCGTGTCATGAGTTCCCGTCCCACATGTACAACTAAGATGGTGTGCGTTAGACCAAAAATGTGTCTGACTTGACTTATGTCGAGTCCTGGTGTCCCTGGCCTCGAGACAAAATGGCTGAACAACACTCTCTGTCTTCCATCACTTGACCCAAGCAGTCCATCTCCAGGCCAGTGTCTCTCCTGTCTGGAGCTGATGATTCCCTTCAAATGACCTTGACAGAGTCTGACGTATCTTAAGCCGACTTTACACCATCATTTTCGCGACAGCGGTGATATTTCCCGCTATCGGGACGGCGCTGTCGCGACGTGTGTAGACAGACCGACCGCTGCCGGGGATTCTCTTCACACGGCGTTCCCGCTGTCGGCAGTCCCGCTGTCTCGAAAAGCTGTATATAAAGTGGGCCTCTGTTTTGTATCAGCCATGCCAGAATGACCAGTATGATGATCGTGGTGTCCAATGTACTGCCTGCAAGCCTTACCCAACTTTCCTGCGCCCAAACAAGTACCAACCCTGCAAGTCTGGGACGTCTACAAACGCCGCCTAGCGGTCAAGACAAAAAAGGCACCAGGCTCACAAAACATTTCACTGGAACTACCGAAGGAATTCGCCTGCGAACCCACTTCTCCGTACTATCGCATCCTCAAATATTCTGTCTTCCCAAACGAAATAGTTCCTGACAAGTGGAAACAAGCAACTGTGGTCCCAGGACCCTAAAACCAACCAGCCAGTATTGACCAACTAAATGTACAGTATTGACCAACACATTGCCCTAAACCTCCCGTTCTCAAAGATCTAAAAGACGTCAAATTTGACCACAGACAACTGGACAGTTGGGCGATCTACAGTACACGCGTCTAACAACTGGGTTAATCCATCTACTATATGTACTCTTGTGGCTTCAGACTTCTCCAAGGCATTTGAACAAGTCCACCACCACACCGTTATCACCTGTGCGATGATGCCACTTCTGACGCCGTGAGTCCAGTGTGGAAATACGTTGACGGCATGGACATGTTACATGTACAAACAAGACGATTTCATCAGCAACCTTCTACTTTTCAGTCAGACTTAGGCCTGGTATGCCAATGGTCTAACCGTAATCGTATGCTTCTGATGAATGGATCAAAATGTCTCGCAATGCACATCAAATTCTCTCAAACCTACCACCTCTGCCACCAATTAACACGCCACTGACTGTCATGTCAGTTAGAGGTAAACAGAGAGGGAGAGAGACAGCCTGAGAACAGCATTCTTATGTGGAAGAGTAATCAAAAGTAGAAGATATGGTTCAATGGCATCACGATTAGAAAAAAAAGTCTGAGTATTAGTTGCCTTCCTTTCTGTCTACGATGACATGTAACATGTAAGCTAAATGTTACTATCATTATATATAAGGCGTTCTGTGTATGATAATATGAAGAATTAGTGTTTTTTTAACGACCTCTGAAATTAGATTATTTGTTACCTTCGCCAAGAAGGTTATGTTTTCAGAGGCGTTCGTGTATGTGTGTGTGTGTGTGTGTGTGTCTGTCTGTCTGTCAACGCGATAACTTGAGAAGGCCTTGATGGATTGTCTTGATACTTGGTAGATGGGTAGGTCTTGATGAGACCTCAAAATGATTAGATTTTGGACCCCCTAGCGGCTTGTTATGGTACTGCAGCTCAACTTCCGGTTTTGATATCTCAAGATCCAGACATGCTATGGTGATGAAATTTGGATGGCAGATAGCTCTTGTGCTGGGGAAGAAGTGACGTGAGTTTAGGCCCCCTAGCGGCTTGCTCTAGAACTGCAGGGGGGTTTAAAGGACAAATGTTTAAAAGAGGATAACTCAAGAACCGATTGATGGATCATCGTGATTTTTGGTATGTAGGTAGCTTAAGTGATGCTTGACATAATGATATTACAATTATGTGAATATTGATGTAATTTGCATAATTAATGAGGAAATTCAATAAATCAGCTGCATTCCATGATAGGAAGTTCAAGCTTGTAACATATGTTATTAAGAACGAGAGAAACACAGGCAAATATTGATTATGCAAATGAAGACTTAATTTGCATAATTAATGAGAAAATGTTATAATTGCGTAGTGGTAACTGCCTGGAGTTTCATACTTGGGGTGTTTGAAAGTTAAGTGAAGGTGAACATAATTAAACATGACTTATTCAAATAAGGACCACATTTGCATAATTTATGAGAAAATGGCATTCTTTGTTAAGATAAGACTGTCTTTTGGTGGAGAATGTGATCAACAGACTGATATAATTCATGCAATTGAGGATCCTATTTGCATAATCAGGGAGATTAGTATATTTCTTATTCATAAAGGCTAACATCATTTGGCGAAGGTATGAGATCGTGGAACTCTAGTTGTACATGCATTTGGGACCGAATCGCCTATATACATATAACTAATTCATGAGAGACGGTGCACCTCCCAGACTCTAACAAGCTATAAATGACCTCAGCAACCAAGCGTCTTTTCCGTAAGTAATTTCATCAGGTTGGAAGATACTTAGGGTATAGAATTTTCTTCTTACACAACCAGTACGGTTCTCACCTGCTTACGTTTCGATGTTTATCAGACACCTTCCTCAGAGCTTCTGACTGGAGTTCTGCAACTCGCCGCTTGATGGATTAAAGAAGCAGTCTGGATAAGGAAATCAACCCCAGTGATGAACCGGGACGAGGGGGATACAAGCCACGTTTTGGATTGCATTCTCGCTGCAAAAGCGCCACCTACATTGGCGATAAATAGCGGCGAGTTGCAGAACTAGACTCAAGTGAAAATGAGTACTGTCTGTCCAATATTCGTTGATATGTGTGGGACACAACATCAGCAACAGCTTTCTCTGTTCCGCGTGTATTGCATTGTTGCAATTTCAATTAAAAAAATGTAACAGTGTGTACGCAAACATACATAGCAGAAGAAGGAAGATACATTTAAAGTAACAAACTCGTGATTCTTTTAGTACGTTTGAATGGTCCATTTGTGACGGACATGGCCACATTGTTACTGCCACAAGTACTGTATAACTTTAAATCTGTGTATAGATCAATGTAACTAGTATTCTTATACAATGATCTGCCTTACATTGCAAATGTTACCAATTATCATAAAGTAAGCTTTGAATTGAGTTTTACTTGTACTTCATCCTATCATGCCTGCAAACGTTTAAGCTGCTCAACATTATCCAAAATATAAAAAGCACCATGCAATGTATCATTCATAGAACAAATTTTTGTTGTGATATAACAGCACATAATTGCATGTCATGATGTGATAAGGTGCCAGGGGACATGATGAAAAGTCATGACAATAAAACCTATTTGGCATTGTCTTTTTATTCGACTTGTTTTGACCTTTGCAGCATTTTAACGGTTAAGTATTTTCCTTGTTATGCTACCTATTGCCTAATATCTTGTAGTGTTCATTTTGACATGTTAGCCGGTCAACTGTGAGCGAGCACAAGTTTTAGGCTGCTCAACTGCCGGTATGTTGCGGCTTTTTTTCCAAAATTTATAAAGCACCATGCATGGTATCAATTTCGGTAATGAAAGTAGAATAAAATGTCATGAAGATCTGAAGAAAGATCTTGGAATAGCATTTAAATATACTTTGTTAACTTCTTGGTTAGCAATGCCGCCATTAACATTTGCATACCTACCGCAGTGTTACTGGCAATTCGCACTACGTTTTTTTCACCAATACGACCAACACCATTTGTATGGCAAACAGCAAAAACATATCATGATGTGATAAGGTGTCGAGCGTCACGACGAAAGGTCACAGCAAAAAAAATATTTCGTTGACTTGTTTCGACCACTTCACAATTTTAACTGTTACTTAGCCATTGGTTTTATGTGGAAACTTAAGTTAAAAGAAATGCAATTCTTTGCATTTCCGTTTCCGAAGTTTAAGTTTCCGTAGAACTACCTTAATACCGTCACTCTTAAATAGTTGTGCACCAAGTATTCGGCATATTTGGTAAAAACGCACCGAGTTGCGGGACAAAGTTTTAGATTGCCAAACCACGGTACGGCAGTATTAATAAGATTAAGCGAGCGGAATGTACCCGCGGAAACAGGCCATACACATGTATACAAGAACATGAATATAATGTGATTTAATCAATGGTTTATTAAACAATTAAACATGAAATGCTAGTTAACAATGATTGCTTTGCTTACATGTTGCTCCTCTTTGTTAAACGAGTGTATACCAATTAACATTTATTTTTGTTAACTTTTGTCCATTATAATTTGTATAAATGTTTCGTGTTTAACTGTGTAGAAATTCCTTATTCACATTCAATTTCATAAAAAGTACGTATGTCATCCACATTCATTCTTAGATTTGTTTTTTACTATTCATTTTTTAGATTTAGATTTATTTACTTGTATTAAGTATACAGAGTCTGTAGTTCAAAAGGGGTCTGGTTGTATCTGCCTACATTAATTTGATGTGGTGGTCAATAACTCTTAATGAAGATTTAGGGATAGCTTTCTTTCGTACGCATGTTTAAGCTTTTTATACGTTTTTTTTATTCATTTCCGTATCGTTTGTTTAGACAATAGATCCCAGTAGGCAACCATGTGTCAGTGTAAGTGGTTTGTTTGTGAATGTGGTTGAATTCTGTCCTTATTAACAATTTTTTAAAATTTGAATAATCATTGAGAAGGATAACTTTCTGATATTGTGCTGTCTTTTGACGTTGGTTTTATCAGAAGCACGAATCTTCTTAAAGTTAGTTATAAGGTCTGTATATGAATAGCAAAGTTCTTTGATCACAACCATTTATTTTTCACGAGCCGACGTTTCGATGACCGTCTGTCATCTTCATCAGGGCAATTCTGACTGGTTTGTGCACTGACGCAAGATGTTACTTGGTGCATAGTGCACTAAAGGTGTTACATAGTTCACAGTGCACTGTTACTTGGGTATTCACTGTTAACTAGTCTGTCAGCTCGTGAAAAATAAATGGTTGTGATCAAAGAACTCTACCATTAATTCGTTTTCCAACCTGATAACATTATTTACGGAAGCTCTGTATACATGTTTGTTTTAGCAGTCCACGTCTGTCATGGGTGTGGCACACCTGGATGAGTCAGACTGGGCGGAGTCCGGTCTAGCGTCATGACCAGTCTGCCTGCCATTCACCCTTTTCTGTCTCCTTTTCCGAAACTGGTCAATTTCCTGTCGAAGGTCGTCTACTGTCTGAAGGTCAAGTGTGCTAACCTTCATGTTTGGTGTAGAGCCATTTCTGTCATACCAAGCTGTTATAGCTGCCCTGTCATAGATACAGCCGTCATTAGAACGTACTGGTTCTCTCATTACACTGTTGCTGATAGGGCAGATATACTTACTGGGAACAAGTTCATTTGACCTTGTATTCTCGTAATCCCCCTCGCTCCGGAGAGCTGACAGAATAGCATGTGCCTTAGCTAAGGGTATGCCGATGTTGATGAGGTCTACCTCTGTACAGGACTGGAGGGTTTCATAAGTAAACTGATTTTCTGCCATGATGTTGATGCAGTCAACGAAGCCGTTTATCTTCAGGAAGTTTTGAAGTCGGTCATCTGAAAACAATACATTAAGACAAGTCAGAACACAACATTAATAGAACGTCCAGGACTTAATGCTTTCACCAAATGATGTTAATTCTTTAAGTTACCAGAAAATAATCGTCTAGGCTAAGGTGTAGAGAAAACCCAGAAAATCCATTATCTTAAAATATTGTATTGGAAAAGAATGATACATGAGTTTCGAAATGTATCATTTTGCGCATGTTTGGGATAAAGATTATTGACAAGGTTGTGTTGAAATTTGTAGAAACACCTCATGGTTATTGATTTGGCCTTTCTTACATGTATCTTTTGAAAATTTACCTATTGCTGCACAGGTCGTGGGATTTTGCAATGGTGATGAGTGCCAGGAAAATTTGGTGATATTTACTTTACACATTTGACTCCTTAAGTAACTTCCATCCATCCGTCATAAATAAGGCAGAGGTGTCAAGCACAATTGTCTGAAATCTCAAACTCAGTTGTTTATCTGGAGTAAACCTTGCGTTTGTATCTAAGCTATTACGTGAAAGAGATGAGTAGTTTCATAAGATACAATACAGGGAATACAACAGTGATGATTCCACCAAGTAGAGCTACATTGGTATTATCTATCACCTAAAGCAAACACACTGGTTCTAGCCTTACCTGACATTTATTGTAATTCATTAACCCCGCTTTTCCTGTAGTGCATTAGAAGACGAACGTTCTTGTCGTAAAGGCTTAATTATTACTACTGCTCTGTGAGAAATAAGTGCACAATAAGTATAAATTACCAACGAGCAAGGTGTAGTTGTTCTCACAGGCCATGTCGGACTTCCCAGTTGCTGCCATGTCTACGATGTTGTTGACCAGTGAGGCCTGACTGCTGCTGTCCATTGTGAACAGGTCTTTGGACGACGCGTAGGCAGGAATGGCGTATGCTCCGTCAGGTTCAACCTACCGACAAGAAACCAACACATAATTAAAAGTGACATTTAGCCCAGAATTTTTAAGTCTTACTACGAAGCTGGAAGGCATCCATATAATGCAGCTTATGCCCATCATATGTTTAATATTATTATTTTTCTTTCTTTCTTTCTTTCTCTCTTTTTTTGAGTATCTATATGTACGTGTTTTTAACGTTGTTTCATGTTGTTCTAAGATGAAGCGTTAAGAAGTTACTCACCTGCCCCTTAAGTTCCCGTGGTGTGACAGACCACTCTACCGGCCGCCCTCCTGCACCGTGTAAGGACTCATAATTGTCTGTTAAAAAGAAATATTTTTTTAGTACTTGGTTTGGATATGGATATTTTATGTTGCCTATCAGAATTCCCTGTTGATAAGATTCCCTGGAATGATATGTAATGTTTGTCGATTTCCTTCGTTTGTTTAAATTTTAACGGTTTAAACCATCGGCTAAATCAGCTCAATTGCAATAAAAAATTCTATTTCACTCAGTGGATAGTGTCTTATCATTTGCGGTTTTGCGTGTCATTTCATTCACAGGTTAAGCAATACATGTATTACAACAGTTACGGATTTTATAGGGATTTAGGACTCGAAGCTTGATCATCCAAGTTCTCAGAATCTCAGTTGTAATTCTTCGACACTCCATCTGTTTTAGAAAAATTTAACAAATTGTCTAACTTTTGCGTAAATCAGATTAATATGTTCATAGCAGGCAACTTACTTGCAGTGCTCCTTCTTAGGTCTTCGTAGGTTCGGACGTTACTATCTTCGAGTTGTGGTCGAGCTGGCAAACGTCCGAGTTGGTGACTGTTGTTCTGGGTATTATTGCCGTATCTGGACAGGGAATTTGTCAAATGCTTTGGATAGTTACTTAAAACGTAACGTTTATTTGATACCCTCATATTAAGTCAATACCCATGAGGGTTTGCTCTGCAAATGCAGATAAAACTATTCTTTGATTCAAGTCAATGGAGCCATCTACTGAAGATGACTAGCAAAAGAAAAAAATGGTAACAAACTTCTACTATTTAATGAAAAAAGCATATTATTTTACTACCGTCTTTTATCAGAGGATGCTACACTGAAAACGATATTGTAGTTGCAAAGTGCAATAACTTTATCTAACGTTTTGATCACCTTTCTTTCTTTATCCTTTTACGCCTGCAATAGACGGTAATGACGGTCACGACGATTCCTGTAATCACCACCGCCACGATGGAGACGGCAATGATTATGACTGATGTGGACGACAACCCGTCTTGTTTACCTAGGAGTAAGAAGCAAACAATCAAATAAAACGACAGAAAATGTTTTGTTTGCTGTTGTCGTTATTTTTTTAAGGAATCACCATTAAATGATTAAAGATGGAATTTTAAGGTTTAAATGAATGACAATTTGTTATAATCTAAGAGAATGTACCTTCTGCGTGAAGAGGACAGTAGGTTGCGAAAGACACATCGTCAACAGCTATGTCTCCCTGGTCTCCATTTCCCACAATGGCCTCTAGAACAACCTAAATAGGGGTACGTCAATGGTTTAAGTTAATCATATGTCCTATTAAACTTAATGACTTACTCGTAATGTGCATTAAACAACAACGAGCCTATTTAATCTCGATACGTATCCCACAGTTATGTTAAACCAGATACCTGGTATTTCCTGTTGTTAGTACCGATGTTGACTGAAGCAAACAGCCATCCCCTCCCCTGTTGTCCCTCCCGTCGCCACACTTCTTGTGTTGATTCATCCTCCACGTTCCTCACCAGAACTCGCAGGCTGCCGATGTTACGGCCTTGCATGTGGTAGAAGAATCGGAACTAGACGGAAAAAAGAACATCTTGTCTATAAGGGATACCAGATAACTCTTAAAGCAGAGGTTGATGGTGTAAGATCGTTTTCTTTTTATATATGAACAATTTTTTGTCTCTACCACCACCAAACGGGCCATATATAAAAATCAAACGATCTTCCCCAATCAACCTCTGCTTGGAGAGTATACCAGATCATAATTGTAGCTCAGTTTGTCCCCTAAGCCATAGACTTATGTCAAGCAAGGGATGAAAAGGATAAGAAAATAAGTATCCAGCCCCTTTGCTGTTGTCGCTGACAATACAGATATTTTTTTTTTTAAGTCAATTGTTTAATATCCGTACCTGGCAGGGTGAGCCGTCCGTGATTACGGGGCTAACAAGTTGGGCCTTTTGCCCTTCAGTATTGTCTGAAGAGTCGATGAATATGTAGAAACCTGGGTGCGAAATTTAGTTTAAATAAGGTAAGAACTTTATTGCACGACAATTGCACATGGTACAATGTATGGCAAACTACATAAAGAGAGTAACAAACAATAAAATGTGTTGAACAAGACCTAATGTCGAATAAAATCTAACAAATCTATATCATAATCATTCAAATAATAAGGGATAGCACAAGTCTATGATTAAGTGTTACAATCGAGTGGGCACAAGTTTCGGAATTTTTTTCTAATAACTAAGCATTACTTTATATATCTACGGAACATAAAGTTGGAACATAAAGCTCAGCTAATTAGTTTGTTAAGATAATGATATAATTGCTTAGATGAATGTACCTAATGGGTTTTGGTGAGTGTGGTCCACCGGTGGCCCAGTACCGCTAGTACTTGTTGATTCTCTCCCCCGTTGGAATTCGATGTCACTTGGACCAGATGACCAGGAACAGAAGCCTTCTTCAAAATCACATCGCCCTGGTTCTGCGGATAGAAGCAAAATGCGACATTATTAAAAAAATGCATTTATTAATGGACAAAAAAGCATTTGACAGACAAGTATATCTTTAACATTTATACATGTAATTAGGTAATGAATATGTATGGTGATGGATACCTTTATCACAAAGCCTTTCGTCACTCCCATCTACACAGTTCACTTGAAAATCACACACATAGTCCAGGGAGATGCATTCACCGCTGCCGCATTTAAAAGTAAACGATGTTTCTGTGCAGCCGTCGTATTCTGAAAAAAGAAAAGACAAGCGCCAATTGAATCAACAGCTATGGGAAGAAAGTTAAATATATTTCCTTGATTCAATAAATGTAAATACCAGCCCTTAAGACTAGTGTAGCCTAAACCTTTTGTCACAATTACTTTGCATGTAAAACAACATGAGAGGTCTTACCGATAATACAGCCTGGCGTCAATGTTATATCATCTATGGCTATTGACCCAGGCGAAGGCGTCCCAATTGACCCTTGAAAAGAGACCTAGAGCAAAATGTCAGAATAGTAAAGAATTCATAAACGAGGTATCATCAATGGGTCGTTCTGAATATTCTACACTTAGTCAATGATGTTTTAATGTCGGTTGAATATATACGGTCAATACCTAAACTTAAAGTTTAGAAATGAATTATTCTTGACTTGGTACCGATTAAGTACACCAACCTGGAACGGTGTTCTGTCCGGGATCGGCACCTCCTGTTTGACCCAGTTCGGTCCTTGTGAAACGCTTTGCTGCCATTCTATCCTCGCGTTTGTTCTTGATGCAATCCGAACGGAAAGATTTGCGTCATCAATGTCCAAGTAGTAGTGGAACAGCAGCTGTGGGAGATTCATGATGTAAAATTTATGAAATAGCACGTTGGATTTTCATTTTGTTACCAACCTGTAAGTACCCAATCTATCTGTAGGATTACAGAAAAAAAGTATACACTTACGGAACAGTTGTTACCACTGGAAATGAAGAACGTGGGAAGCAGCAAGAAGGCTGTTGTTTCCTTAGCGGCAGTTACGTACAGGAAATATCCATCTGTAGATAGAGAAAAGAGGAATACATGATCCAGCATATGGTAAATATTGCAAAGTCTTAGTAATGTATATTTCGTTGCAGAGTGTCAAATATCATATGCAATAACATCTGTTGCAATTCTAATTTTCTTTAACAAATCCAAGCAATTGTAAAACACATGCATAACTAATGTCTTTACGTGCAACTACAACCTAATAGTCATTTCTTACGTTTTTTTATTAGTCCTTAGGACACAAGCCATGTCGTTTAAAATGAGGCTGATATTGACTCATACCTGTTAGACCCTGATGATCCACCAATGGCACCCCGGCCTCAGACCCACCGAACCCCCGGGTCCAGTCGGCAGTGTCGCTTTTCAACTGGACCCAGTTACACAAGTTGTTCTGAAAGTCACATCGTCCCGGGTATCTCCCTGTTCAAGGGGTTTAGCATTACTATATAGTTTGGGAGGGTTCATGTATTTGGAATCACAATATAATTGCAGGTAACAAGGACGGTTGATGTCATATTTACTCAATGTAATTGAATTTACTCAATGTAATGTAATGGAGTTCCCTAATAATTCTCTAATGGACCCACAATAACAGTGAGTAACAGTACGCACACACAACAACAACAAAAAACAATTCATAAATGCATACCACAGTCCCCCTCGTCACTTCCATCCCCACAGTCGTTTGTGAAGTCACACTGAGCGGTAGGAGGAAGACAGACTGCGTTGTCACATACAAACTGGTCCGGTGTACACTGGTGCCACTGACCTGGAACAGTCATCACAAAATATATGGAATGAAATATATAAATTTGCTAGATTTGCAGGTCTTAACTTGCAGCAATCCTATTTACTAGTCAGACGAGCCGTCCAATCGGGTATTTTTAACAAAAAGTATGATATAAGTGACAACAAAACAAAGAGAAAGTTTAAAAACAATCATGAACATAATGCTTGTAATTAGAATAGGCATTTTCGACTTGAAAATGAGGATCTTTCATGAAATGGTGTCTAATCAAATATGGATTTTACGTCGAGTTTTAGCCAAGTATTGCATTCTACTAAGGGAAACGTGTGTATTTGTAAGTTTTACCTGCATATGGATGATTTCACTAGAAATTGTTATTCCCATGCCCCCCCCCCCCTAAAAAGAAAAAAAAGGAAAAATGAACTCACCCACACATCTGACAGACACATCCCTGTCATGGTTACAAAGAGGACTCCAGTTTTCCCACGGCTTCGTCCGACATTCTGTGATTCTAGACTTGTTCCTGGAGTCACAGGTGACGTCATCTAGGAGGATGGGTGTTGAGTCCGGTGCGGGATACCTTTTAACAGAAATATGAAATAGTACACTGTTATTTCATGGATATGGAACATACAAGAATTCAATATTAAAAAACTAGGATAGGAGGATATTGGTAGGTTAATATTTTGCCGTTTCCATATCCATACATGTACCTAGTATCTGTCCACACAGACGCCCTGTACCCCAGTTGAGCACACACCACATCAGCGCTAGTCCGGGTCCAGCCGATGTTACAGATGGTTCCCCAGCGGTGGTTGTAGTAGATCTCCACCCGCCCTTCATCGAACCTGGCACCGTCAACTAACCGGACACTCCCGTCAACTAGACAATTAAGCACACTTCATGTAGAGTAGGTAATGAACAACAAACCATATACTTTTTAAAATTGCACAATGTAGCTGCTCAAAATGTCTTTGTTCCAGCATGCTAGCACCAATGTCTTCAACAAAACTTGTTCAACTTTCTGCCACTGTGAAAACAATTCTTACCTTCTCGTACGCAGTCCCATGAGAAAGAAATATCGTCAATAGCAATTTTTGCATCTCTCCCGTAGCCTAGCACGCCTTGAATAATCACCTGGAATGGACATATTACAAAAAAGAGTTCCACGACCTCATATCCTCGCCAAATGATGTTACTCATTCCGACTAACAAAATTATACATATTTTCTCATTAATTATGAAAATAAGATCCTCATCTCATTTTTATCATGGATTTCATCAGTTGATCATAATAACCACCCAATTACAGCCTATCGTAACAGAGAAGGCTATTCTAGCACTTCCTCATAAATTATCTAAATGAGGTTATGATTTGAGATGATTCTGCTCATTGATGTCACATTCACTAAACTTCCCAATGTTTCAAATGACTTACTTGAAATGGGTCTTGTTCTTGAAATGAGACAGTAACCTGTGTCCAATCTTCAGCTGTCCCCGCTGACTGCTGCCATGCCGGTCTCTGTACGCCTGTGTAATACTGCCGGGTCAACACATCCAGATCCCCGGCGTCTGGTCCCGAGAAGTAGTAACTAAAGGTCATCTGGGAGAAACACATTGTAGATGTCATTCATTTCACAAACGTGATGAATACTCATGTCAAATAAATAACTAAATAGATAAACATTCAAAGCAGCTAGAAAAAAGGGTATTTTAAATCATTCTTACTTGTCATACATTTTAGACTTTTTAATCCTTTTAACTTTATACAATCAACCCTGTAGCATAATGTACAGGACTAAGACGAACACTTACATTACACGGCTGAACCACAGACGGGACAATGACAGGACCGATGATTCTGGCTGTGTCTAAAGGTTGCTGACCGTCTTCATTACCAACATAAAGGTAACGTCCTCCATCTGTACATAATAACAGAGATCTTGAAAAATAGGAATTAAACAAAGCTCAGCATTTAATGGAATAAAAAAAATATTAATCCGGCAATGCTTGTTTATGAAAAAATATTTTCGTACTAACGCATGCCTTTTATCTTATATTTTATTGTATAAATATTTCATTTTATTTACATGGATTTTTGAGCATTGGATAGGAAGCACAAAGTATAAATATATCGTCGCTTATAATTTTTCGGGAACGATTCTTGATCAATATGTTTATACTATGCGTAATTCTTTAAATATTATTCACCTGTTGGCAGATGGTTTCCATTTCCGGCTGTTTGTTTTGCCCAGTCAAAGTCGTCAGTCGTCTGTTGGTGCCACTCACATGTTCCTATAGACTCAAAGTCACAGGGCACTGGATGTCTGGTTTCTGTAGAAATACATACCGGTAGCAAGGTTTGACGTTGACAATAACTAGGGGATAAATAATACTGAGATTTGGCAGAAATGCCGATATGCCACCTAGTTTTTGTATCAGGGAAAATGTAGAGAACTGCGATGAGATCTTCTTAGGTGGCAAAAAATACAGCTCTTGGTGACAAAAGTGCAAATGTTGGTACATTGGCGCACTAAATTCGCAGTGTGTTTTGGCAGACATTTAGACATTGGCGCACTAAATTAGTAGTGTGTTTTGAAACATTTAGACATTAACCTTAGAGACTCGGTGGGCGTCACACCACCGTCAGGGAAGGGACGGTCGTGTAAAGTGCCTCTCCCAAGAGCGCAGCGTCGACGCATAGTGAGTATTAAACCCGGCTCTAACCGTTACGCCACTGACACCACACATGGTAACTCGACACACAAATTAACTGGCAAGTACCTTTCAACACAGACCAGTATCATGTCGTTTTTCATAATGAAGTAGCCACTATTTTGACGCTAAGCACCAACATTATAGAGTAAATAAAAAGTAGAAAAGAACAACCTTTTTTCAAGCTGTGCCATACAAAAAATACCCAGTCAGTATAAGGGATCATGCACGTGTACTATTAGATTTTAACGGCATGTTAGATCTCATGTAGTGAGAGCCATTCTGTCACTGATTAACCTATAGATAAACACAGTCGTGCTCTTTACACAGTATCCATACAACCTACTGTAAATTTATTTAAGATCGCAGGGCATAGATTTCATGGCATTGTTTATACAAGTTCTCAGTACATTCTAATTAGTTTACCATTAAAACTACTGTGGTAACACAATGAAACGTGCAATATTTAAAGGTGAGATAAAGGAGGTGCGAAACGCAACCGTAAAACAGTAGAACCCAGAACTTTCAAATCACACCGGATATTTCACAGGAAGGTTATTAGGCATAACACAAAGAATTCAAACTGTGTATTCCGTATCACCCGAAGGCTAGATGGCTATCCGACCCAAAGAAAGGCTGGGACTGTAGGTAATGCGGAATACAATACCCGAGGAAACACAACATAAAATGTGCATAAATATGCTGTAATTTGGCGTCTCTTAACCAAAAATTGTAAAAAGTTGTTACCCATCC